ACAGTCTGTCTTCTGGAAGGGGGATTACACTTGTTCTGATTAATAATGATAATAATTATCAGAATTTATATAACTCTTTATGTTTTACAAAATACAATGCATTTGCTCATTTGATCCTCACAACAACCTTGGGACGTGGGTGCTGTTATTATCCCATTTTACAGATGAGGAAACTGAGGCAGACAAAGTCAAGCGATCGGCCCAGTGTCACATAACTAGTAAATGTCTCAGAAATTTGAACTCAGGCCTTGCCTGACTCTAAGTCCAGTACTCTATTCAACATACCAAGAATGAGGAGCGACGAGTGGATAAGGCCGCTTTTTTTCTGGATGTCAAGAGAACTTAATAATTAGAGCTGTCCCAAGGTGGAATGGGCTGCCTCAGGATGGAATGAAACCCCCTTCATTAAAGGCCTTCAAGCAGAGACCGGATAACTCATTGTCAATTCTAGTTTTCAAGGTGTTTTTTTTTTAAATCAGTTCAGGTTAAGTGACTTGCCCAGGGTCACACAACTGGTGTCAAGTGTTTGGTCTGAGGTCGGATCTGAACTCAGGTCCTCCTGACTTCAGGGCTGGTGCTTTTTCCACTGTATCACCTAGCTGCCCCTCAAGATGTTTTTTCCTCAGTAAGGTTTGGTACCTGTTTTTCCAAATTATTAATTCTCTTTTGATATCAAATAGCTCTCATTTGGTCTTTGAAATTTTTTTTTTAGCTCCTTTAAAAAAACCTTTTTTTTAAAAAAAATCTTCAAATTCTTTGAGACTTCACCTGTAGATTTTTTTGGAGTCATTTTCTTCTTTGAGATTTGCGTCTTTAGCTTCCCTGACACCAAAGTAGATTTTTATGGTCAGGTTCTTTTTTTTTTTTTGTCTATTTCTTGACTTTGGATATGATATTGTGTAGGGGTACTTCTGGTGGGGGAGATGGCCAGCCTGAGCTTCTGTCCTCTTAAGTCCTTTTATTGCTTTTGAAGCTCAGTCTGGGGGCCTGCAAGCTTTCACTGCTCCCCAGGATCGGGAGAAGTCTGCTTGCTGGTCTTCTGTCAGAGCTCTTGCAATTGCCTGACCCAAATTTGGGCTGCTCAGCTTGTTTCTGGTTGGGAGATTCAGTAGACTGCTGCTGGGCTATTTTCCTTGCTCAATATCCAGCAAGGGCCTGAGTCCCTAATCACTCTTCTTGGCCTCAGTCTGTGATCAGGAACTGGGTATTGGGACAGAGCTGCCATATGGTACCCACTGCTTGTCCAGGGATCCCTTGGGATATTTCTCTGTCCTAAATAGGCCCTCTTTCCATCCCTGGGTGCTGGAGTGCTCCACATTCATACCCTATCCCTGGGGTCCACAGACCTCTCTATCTTCCTAAGCTGCCGTGGGCTGGAAAAAAAATTGATTCATTATGATTTTCTTTCCTTGGTTTTCCAATCAGAATTGGACTGGCACAATTTCTAAATCTTTGTGGAGAAGGGATAAGTGGGGGAGAATCACTTGATCGATTGACTGTTTAATTACTACTTCTCATTCCTCCTTCCCTCCATGACCACTTGTCTGGGACATCAAAGAGGGATCCTTATTCTGGGAGGGGTTGGATCAGATGGCTGAAAAGGGATTCTGTGAGTGGGGTAGAGAGCTGGGGGGGGGGTTTCCTGGGTGACCGGCAGAGCCATTCTCCAGGCCACAGAATTGGTCCTGTAAGAGGGGGAAGAAATTGCATCAGCATTTGAGGGCAGGGTCTTATTTCTTTAGCAAGGGGACTTGGACCTCTCCTGTCCCAGAACCTGATGGATGACTGATGCAACCTTGGCCCTCAGCCCAGTCACACAATGAGAGGTTCTATATTCCAGATTTCATAGTCTACTAAAGAACGTGGCTGTCCCAGGATGAGTTGGAATTCTGGGCCTGAGCCACGGAGGGAACCCTTTTATTCTTGGCTTCTATGCTGAGCCCTGCATTCCTCTACTTAAACCAGCTGCTGAGCTTGGGGAAAGAGGATGGGAGGGGATCCACCCAGCTGCTAGTACGTTCCTCCCCCAGAAATTACTTGGTATATATTTTGTATTGAATTTTTCTGTGTGTCTGTTGTTTTCCATACAAGACAGCAAAAGCTCCTTGACAGCAGGGATTGTTTTATCTGTCTTTGTATTCTCAGGGCCTAGTACTGGGCCTGGCACAGCTTGTTCAATCTTTTCCAGTTGTGTCTGATTCTTCATGACCCCATTTGGGGTTTTCTTGACAAAGATAATGGAGTGTTTTGCCATTTTAACAGAGGAGGAAACTGAGGCAAACAAAGTGAAGTGACTTACTCAGGGTCACACAGGTAGTGTCTGAACTCAGGTCCTTCTGACCTGAAGGGCTGGCTCCCTAAGCCAACTCGACCAAAGCCCTCCCAAAAGGAGGAAACAAATAATCATTAAGCTCAGACCTCAGCCCCTGAAAGTTCCCCCGGCTCCAAAAGCCTGACTGTGGACTTCAGCCTGTCGACTTCTGGACCCCAGATTTAGAGTCCACTCATTGTCCTTGGCTTGCTGCTCCCATGCCTCCTTGATCAGGGTTATCAGAGGATTTGGGTTCTAATCTAGGCTCTGTTATTGCTCCCTGTGTCGCCTAGGGCAAATCACTTCCCTTGGGGGATTGTGTAGGGGTGGGTAGGACCTCAGTTTCCTTCTCTGCCAACTGAAGGTGATTTTCTTCTTCACTGTAAATCTATGGTCTTACAATCCTGACCCACCCGTGACCTGGTAACTTCATCTTCCTCACTTTTGGCCTCAGGCCTCAGTCACCAACCCTGGCCTCTGGTTCGGTCCTCCAGGGCTGGCAGAGTAGGAAATTGCATCAGGGTCAGTGGGAGGGAGGGACTTTGCTGCTTCAGGGTGGGGACCTGGGCCTTTCCTGCTCTAGGCCCTCTTGGCTGATATAACCTTGGCTCCTACTTTCTCTTAGTCCTAGAGATTATTAGCCTTGTTTTTATGAAGGAGAAGGATTTCCTACCTCCCCCTTTCCCCCCTGAGGCATTCTTATTTCCAATTCACTTGTACTTTTAGCGTCCAAGATGGATGGCCAGTTCTCCATTAAAGTGGCCCCTGAGACCACATTGTTGTGTGGTATTAAGCAGGTATATTTGTACTTGTATCCCCAGTGCCTAGCACACCCTTAATAAACGCTTGCTGATTGATTCTTCTCAAAGGCTATTTGAAGCATAAGACTTGGTAGGTCCTGCTGAGTGAGGAAATGAACTATATGTTTGGCATCCAAGCACCATTCTGGCTAAATTCAGAGCAGGAGAGCTAGGGCAGGAAGGGTCCTCAGAGGCCATCTAATCTCACCTCTGAATTTTACAGATGAGGAAACTGAGGCAGAGAGAGCTGAAGTCATTTGTGCAAGTCGCATAGGGATTCGGTCAGAGCTAGAATTCATTTTCAGGTTGATACCAGGCTGTACCACAGAATGGCTGCAGGATGATGGATTTTTTTTTCTTTTTGGTGAGGCAATTGGGGTTAAGTGACTTGCCCAGGGTCACACAGCTAGTAAGTGTTGTTTGGTCTGAGACCAGATTTGAACTCAGGTCCTCCTGACTTCAAGGCCAGAGCTCTATTCACTGTGCCACCTAGCTGCCCAAGGATGATGGATTTTTAAAAAAAGTCCCAGAAAGTCTTGAAGACCATTTACCAAGGCACAGAGGTTATAAGAGCATAGATTTTGAGCTAGAAGGGACCTCAGTGGCCCTCTAGACCAAAAACCAAGGTGAAGTACCTTGTGAATCTGAATCAAGCTATCTTTCTTCTGCACCTCAGGGCATTCCATTATCTTTGTTGGGGGGAAAGAGCATCCATACCAAATCAATCACAGAGCCAGGAGCCTGTGAGGGGCTAATGACCAGACTGGAGGGAGGGACAGGGCTAGGACTGGTCAGTTTGTCCCTATAGAAGGGGGGAGCTGAGAGCCTGAGTTGGAGCTGGGAGACTCAGGAACAGTAGTCAGGGCTGGGGGATCAGTGAGAGTCCCCTCATTCACTGACTCCTTCTCCTGGTCTCGGGCCAGATTGAGGACACCAGAAAAAGACCCTGGGGTCCTGAGGCTAGTACAGTGGGAAGAGTACTGGTTTTGTAATCAGAGAATCTGGGTTCACAACTTGCCACACTTACTACCAGAGTGACGTTGGGCAAATCACAACTCTCTGGGTCTCTATTTTTTCCTCTGTAAAATGAGGGGATTGGGACTAGAGAGTCTCTAAGGTGCCTTTAAGGTCTGGATTTATGACCCTATAATCTTACAACCCTGAGGCCCTGGCCAATCCATGGGCCTGTGGGCCAAGACCCCAGTGACCCTTGAAGGAACTACAGGAAATCAGGCTGTAACCACTAAGCCAGTCCTGGAACTGAGATCTGAACACCTGACTCCCAGTTTCCAGGGCCGGTCCCAGATGCCGTCTCTGCTGTCCCCTGGTGGTGAAATGCACAGATCTTCATTGCATTTCCCTAGCTCCTCTGGCCCCATCTTAAACCCTGCTCAGGACCCAACTGACCTGTGGAGGGCAGGGCTTTCTCTAACGCAGCATCTCATCGCCCCACACTTCAGCTAAAATAGCGACCGCCTTAGGGGCATGGGGCATGGGGCATGGAGATAACTCTCCCTCTTCCCCACCGCCCCCCACTCGATATCTCTGGCTATGACTGCCAAATCCTGGCATGGGAGAAACAGCCGTGGGCTGAGTCCGAGGATGTAGGCTCTCCACCTGGCTCTGAAATTGACGTGTTCTGTGACCTTAGCTGTCATTTATCCTCTCTAGGTCTCGGCTCCCTCTTCTGTAAAATGGTGGTGGTGGTGGGGTACTGATTCTCAAACATTTTGGTCTCAAAAAGTTAGGCTATATTCTCTTAAAAATGATTGAGGATCCTCCTCTACCCAAAAGCTTTTTTTTTTAAATGTGGGCTATATCTATCAATATTCATTGTATTAGAAATTAAAATTTCAGTATTTATTGTAAAAATAGTTTTGACCTTGCAGACCCTCCAAAAAGACTTTGCACTTTGAGGACCAGAGATGGAAAGGACCTTAGAAATCATCTTGTACAGCCCCTTCATTTTACAGACAAGGCAATGAGGCCCAGATAGAAGTAATCTGTCCAGACGAACACACCTACTAAGTGCTGGATGCTCCCTAGAATCCACTCCCACCCTCCGACTGGAGAGGAAACTTGTCCCAAGGTTGCCAGCTTCCCAGTGAGGGGCAGCTTGGCAGGGCAGAAGCTATGGCCCTGGACTTGGGGGCATACCTGAGTTCGGAAACACAGACACACTCAGGGCTGACAAATCAAGAAGCGGGATGAGTCTATACAGCAAGAAACTCAGACATCAGAGCTGTATACAAAGCAGGAAGAGATTGTGTTTGATTCAAATCCCACACACAGAGACAATGAGGCCATGTCTAGATGTCCACCTCCTGAAGATTCCCCAGCCGCTCCCCCCTGACCTGCACTCTGGGAAGTTTCTGTGGAAGGCGGAGAGATGGCCAACTGCAGGGGATTTTGTGGCCTGCCTTCCCAGGGACATGGGCCTCAGAGATGAACCAGCCTTTGTCAGCAGAGGCCAAACAACTCCTGGCTTCCTGTGGGGCTGAGCCGTCCTCTGATGGGTCTTTTAATGCCTGTATTCTATACCATGGAGCCCATGCCTCTGGGGTGGGGAAATTCCAGGGATGGGGCTGTCTTGGAGCCACGGGGCACCTTGACTGTAAAGACTTGGGTGTTTCCAAATAAATGTCAAGCTGAATTTGTACCCTGTTCTCCCTGTGAGGTCAAGATGGCCATTTGGGGAGATGGGATGGGCTTACTGATGCTTCTTGACACTCAAATGAGAATGCGAAGCCTCCTGGAGGGGAAAATAGAGCATGTTTGCTTTGGGAATCCCCTGCTCTGTGGGCTCTTTCCCTGGGGGAAGGGACAATAGTGGTCAGAGATGGTCACTTCCCAAGAAGGGGCCCAGACAGCCTGGGCCTTTGCTTCAGATATAGGGTTACAGGGCAAAGGCTGCCAAATGAAATTGGTTCTCCTTGTAGAGACATCTTCCTGGGCCCTGGGGCCTGGAAGAGTGAGTTAGGGGCCTCACCCTGTGTCTCTTCCTGTGTCCAACAGCCTTGAAGATTTACTAACTGTCTGGCCAGAGTCTGACCAGCCCCTCTAGGAGAGTGGAAGACAATTGTGTTGTTTGCTGCTCCCCCCCCCCACCTGCTCCAGGGCCCTCCAGTTTCTGTGAGACCAGGATTCAAAGAGCTTTGGACCATGGGCTGATAGAGGCCTCATCCTTATCTTCAAGGCTGAGTTAGAAGAAAAGAGTTGACTGCAACTCCAAACTGCGCCATTTTCTCCTGGAGAATATCTCACAGCCCTGGGAGGGGGGGATCCCTGCCCTTGGTGTTGGCTGTGAGTGGTTCCTGGGGGGAGCAGCCCCAGCTCTTCCCTCTCCCAGCCCAGCATCAGTGGTGTCATAGCACTATGGCTGTCAGGGCTGCTGTCCAGAGGCTGGCCACTGCCAGCTGGGCCACGAGCAGCTTGGAGATGTGCCCCAAAGAGGAAGCATTGGATGTGCAGGAGCAGACCTCATAACCACTGTCTGAGCGGCTCTCGTCATGCTGGCCGGGCCTCGAGCGGGCCCCAGTCCTGGCTCCCTCGGCTCTGACTTCGTTCTCAGGGCCATCGGCCTGCATGTCACTACACACCAACCAGTCCTTGGCAGTGGACTGTGGGTAGCCAGGTGCGGCTTCCAGCTCACTGTCCAATACTTTCCAGTAGTCTTTACCCCTGAAGAAATACGAGGCCCCTGGGGACAAAGACAAAGACATCCATACATGGGGGGACGGTGTTGGGATTGCGATCAGACCTTGCTCCTGCTATTCCCACCCTTACAGGGCACAGCTTGCTCTCCTCCTGAGGCCTGGCCCAGGGACCTGCCCTGCAGAAGGGTAGACTTGGACTAGGCAGCAGAAGGACTGTTGAATGGGATAGATTTTTGGCTAAATTTGAGGTTGTTAGAAGGAATCTTCTCTGATCAGGGTGTGATGTGTGTGTGTGTGTGTGTGTGTGTAGTGTATAATATATACATAGATTTTTGTATATATGTATATATATATATACATACATAGATTATATACATAGATTTTTGTAGCTATATGTTTATATGCCTGGGTATACATGTATATATATTTCTGATGACGTATACATACATGTTTGAGCATGTACATGTATCTAAGAGCTTTAGTACAGATACCATTGAGGGTGGGAGGATCTGATCTCACAGGAGAATTGCCCCATGGGTAGCTGTCTCCAAGGGCCCTGGGGAGCTTTCCTTGTTCTCTGTACCTCGCTCTTATGGGATCTCAGAATACACAGATTTAGAGCTGGAAGGGACTTCCGTAGCATCAAGTCCAAAATCCCTCATTTTTACTATATTTTGTTTTTTTTAGGCAATTGGGGTTAAGTGACTTGCCCAGGGTCACACAGCTAGTAAGTGTTTGGTCTGAGGCCGGATTTGAACTCAGGTCCTCCTGACTTCAGGGTCGGTGCTCTATCCACTTTGCCACCTATCTGTACCCCAAAATCTCTCATTTTACAGAAGAAACTGAGGCCTAGAGGGGAAGGAAGTGACTTGCCCAAGGTCACCCAGGAAGTAGAATTATTAATAGAGTCAAGATCTGAACCCAATTTCTATGTCTGTGATTCCAGGTTTTCTGCCTCCAATTCCTTTTCCATTATACCACACTGTCTTGTACTATTCTCTAAATGTTGTATGTATGAGTTGTGTCTTCCCCTTCCGAGACTGTGAGCTTCCTGAGGGCAGGGCTATGGTCTCCTCATGACCATCTTGGTCTCTCCCCAGACTGTGAGCTCTCCAGAGCTAATGAACCAGGGTGCCTTTGTATGCATGTGTATGTAGCTGCTAGTGACTTCCCTTCTAAGATTACGTTGTATCTATTATGTATGTGTTTTGTATATAGCACCTATGACTGTGTTGTTTCCTTTATTAGAATGTAATCACCTTGATGGCAGGGACCGCATCACTTCTATGTTCGGGATAAGTATATTGTTGTTTTAGGTCCTCTGGGTTCTGGTTCTAAGTGATCTCTAGCCAGAACCATTCAATGGGGCCTTGCTGAGGGTGTGGTTCATGTAACTACAGCCTAAGGACAGACACAAAATTTGGGACTGTGAGCTTGGGATGTGGGTGGGCAACATTTCTGAGCCTTGGATGGACGAGCCCCAGAGGCTGTTGGGAAGCTTCCTGTGCTTGGCAGGGGACTCACCATCAGACCAGCGCATGGCATCATCCAGGATGCTGGGAATCCCCCTCCACAGAGGGCTCTCTGCGGGGTACCCGGGGTCCATCCTCCGAGTATGGTCATCATAGCGCCAGTACAGATGGTCCTTAAAGAAATAAGTCTTGTCATTGTGGGCCCAGGAGAAGGCAGCATCGATGCCACCTGGCGGGAGGCTGAAGTCGGAGACGGGCCGAGGGTATCCTTCCTCAACGTTATTGTCTTTAAAGACCCAGTATCTGTCTCCTGGGGGGAGAGGAAACAGGCATGGAGCAAGAAAATGGCAGCTGTAAAGTGGTGGGAGCTTGGGAAGGAAGGGGTGAGGTCAGCAAAAGGTAGCAGCTGAGGGGATGGGAGGGATGAGTCCTAGACCAGAGCTGCCTCACAGATGGATGGAGTGCATCTAAGAAGGCCTAGTGACCCTCCCATCCCCTCAAGCTCTCAACCCATGTGGTCCAGTGGAAAGAACACCGCACGGAGTCAGAGAGGTCTGATTCACACCCCTGTCTTTGCACACAAACCTTTGTGATCTTGGGCAAATCACTTGCCATCTTTGGGCCTCAGTTTCCTCACCTCAAAATTAGAGGTGTCAAACGTGCACATTCCAGCCGTAACAGTCCCCAGTTCAGCGCCAACCAATTTAAAATGTAATGGGGAGGGGCAGCTGGGTGGTGCAGTAGATAGAGCACTGGCCCTGGAGTCAGGAGGACCTGAGTTCAAATCTGACCTCAGACACTTGACACTTAATAGCTATGTAACCCTGGGCAAGTCACTTACCCCCATTGCCTAACCAAAAAAAAAATGTAATTGGGAAATATTTCACAAAATAAATAAAAATAAAACATAGATAATATTATATTTTAAAGCTGAGGGGCAGCTAGGTGGTGCAGTGACTAGAGCTCTGGCCTTGGAGTCAGGAGGACCTGAGTTCAAAGCTGGCCTCAGACACATAATACTTACTAGCTGTGTGACCCTGGGCAAGTCACTTAACCCCAACTGCCTCACCAAAAAAACCAAACCAAACCAAAACAAAAAAACAAACTAAGTTAAACTATGCAGCCCGCAAGGATTCCTCTATATGGATCAGTGGCCCCTGCTGCTATTTAAATTTGTTGCCACTGACACAGATGACTTCTGAGGTCTCTCCTAGCTTGAATTCTCAGACTCCGTGATCTTTTCTTTTACAGCCGAGGAAAGCTCCTCGAAGACTCTCCTGGCCCCTGTTCTTCTCCTCTCACTCCTTCCTCAACCCCCTTGCACTTGGGCCTCCAACGTCTTCATTCAGTTGAAAGTGCTCTTTCTGAGGTTGCCAATGACCTCTAAATGGCCACGTCCAATGGCCTCTCCCTTCTCCAATCTACCCTCCACCCGGATGCTAAGTTGATATTCCTAAAGCATAAGTCTGACCACGTCACTCCCCTTCTCAAGAAGCTCTAGGGCTCCCTTTTGCCTTTAGTATAAACTACAAAATGCTCTGCTAGACATTTAAAGCCCTTTACTGTCTGTGTCTGACCTACCTTTCCAGGCTTATTTCACATTGCTCCCTTTCAATTAGGTGGTGCAGTGGATAAAACACTAGGGCTGGAGTCAGCAGTACCCCGAGTTCAAATCCAGCTCTGGAACAGTCACTTAACCGCTGTCTACCTCAGTTTCCTCATCTGTAAAATGGGGATGTTGTTGTTCGGTTGTTTCAGTTGTATCTGACTCTTTGTGACACCATTTTGGAGTTTTCTTGGCAAAGATCCTGGAATGGTTTGCCATTTCCTTCTCTAGTTTATTTAACAGTTGAGGAAACTGAGCGAACAGGGTGAAGTGACTTGCCCAGGGTCACACAGCTAGGCAGTGTCTGAGGCTGGATTTGAACTCAGGAAGACAAGTCTTCATGACTGCAGACGCAGTGCTCTATGCAATATGGCACCACCTAGCTATGTCCCAGGGTTGCTGTGACGAATAAATGAAATGATACTTGTAAAGCATTTAGCACGGTGCCCAGAACATAGCAGGTGTTTAACAAATACTTATTTCCTTCCTTCACACACACACACACACACACACACACACACACACACACACACACAGAGTAGTTCCAGTCCACTTGGCCTACTTTCAGTTCCTTGCATAGGATGCTTCTCCCACCTCCACGCCTTTGCAAAGCTGGTCCCCCAAGTCTGGAATAATCTCCCTCCATCCTTCTGCCCTCTAGAATCACCCGTTTCTTCAAAACTCCGTTCAAATACCGCCTTTCAGACAAGGCCTTTCTTGACCCTCCAGTTGGCAGTGGCAGCTTTCCCAAAGAAATTCTGCATATGTACATTTTGCATTGCCTTATGTGGGCCCATGTTGTTACCCCTGATTGAATATAAGCTTCTTGAGGGTAGAGACTGCATTGCTTTTGTCTCTGTAGCCCCAGAATCCATCACAGACCCTGAAGTATATAGTAGGGGCCTAATAAATGTTTATTGGAAGCAGCCTAATATTATATTAGTTTTTTTTTTTGCTGTCATATCATACTGTTGACCAGTCTTCAGTGTGATGTCCACTAAAACCTCCAGATCTTTTTCAGATGAGCTACTGTCTAGACATACCTTTTCCATCTTGTGCCCACGAAGCTGAAAATTCCTTGTTTTCTACCGGCACACATGGTCTTAGTTGCTGGCTAAAGGAATTGTGCAGGGTCACACAGCCCATATATAGCAGGTTTTCCAAAACTCTGAGGCCAGTCCTGTATTCACTGCTGTCTCTATTTATTCTCATTTATTAAAGCAAGTCCCCTAAAGATTCTACCGGGGACACTTTGTTAATCCTGTTCTGGGGCACTTTTCTTTATAAATGTAAATTTCAGACCTGTCCCAGATATCTTCTCTAGGGCAGGGTGGGAACCTCTCACCTTTAAAGAAGACAATCTTGTGGTCACTGGTCCTCTCATAGACAGCGTCCACACTGTCCAGGTGGAGTGGGAGACCCCTCCAGAAGCGGTGGATCTGGGCGGGCTGTAGGGAAACCAGGTGCCTGTCCCGGGTCAGCCTCCAGAAATACTTACCTGGGAAAGGAGAAAGGACATGAGTGTGGGTGAGCATAGCTCACTACAGGCTCCTCTCCTCCCCCTTATCCTCCCACCCATCTGGAATACTCAAGATGAATTAGAAAAATTCATAGTTAGACTTTTAGAGAATCTCTAATATAAACCCTTACAGCAGTTGGCACAGTACATAGAGCACTGGGCCCGAGTTCCTGAGTTCAAATCTGGCCTCAGACATTATTAGCTGTGTGACCCTGGGCAAGTGACTTAACCCTGTGTGCCTTAGTTTCCTCATCTGTCAAATGAGCTAGAGAAGAAAATAGTAAACCACTCCAGTATCTCTGTCAAGAAAACCCCAAATGGGATTAGGAAGAGTCAGACATGACTGAAAATGACTGACCAACATGTGTGAAGGACTCTGTTCAGTATCAGAAATACAAAAAAAAAAAGGCAAAAAGAGTCCCGGCTCTCAAGGAGCTCACAGTCTGATGGGAGAGACAAACAGCAAACAACTATGTACAAATGAGATGTGCTAGGCCGCTAGATGGCACCATGGTGCATAGAGCGCCAGGCCTGGAGTCAGGAAGACTGATCTTCTTGAGTTAAAATCTAGCCTCAGACGCTTACTAGCTGTGTGACCTTGGGTAAGTCGCTTAACCCTGTTTGCCTCAGTTTCCTCATCTGTCAAATGAGCTGGAGAAGGAAATGGCAAACCACTCTGGCATCTTTGCCGAGAAAACCCCAAGTGAGGTCACATGAGTCAGACATGCCTGAAATGATCTGACAACAACGATGAACTGGAGACAAATAAGCATGTTTGGAAGGAGTATCAATATGTATATTCAAGCTTTCTAGTATGAGTTCGGGAGCTGGGGAAGAGACTAAGAGAATGGATGAGCCAGGTACTGAACTCCTGAGGAAAGAAGCAGACTGTCCTGGAAGCTTATAGACAAAGGCTACCTGATTTCCCATTATACTAGATAGTACCTTGCCTCTCTGAGACTCAGGTTTCTCGTCTACAAAGTGAGGGTGGGTGGTTGGGTGGAGCGGATGATTTCTGCAGACCTTTCTAGCATCTTTACTGGTTGTCCCTCATTTCTAGAATGCTCTCCATCCTCATTTCCATCTCTGGGCTTCCTTCCAGTCCCAGCTAAAATCCTACCTCCTACAGGAAGCCTTTTCTGGTCTTCCTTACTTCAAGTGTCTTCCCCTGTGGATAACCACTGATTTATCGTTATGTATCTTGTTTGTACATAGCCGTCTGCATCAGACTGTGCTCTCCTCTAGAGCAGAGACTGTGTTTGTTTTCCCCCGAACTCAGCACAGTGCCTGTCTAGTAGCAGGCACTTAACAAATGCTTATTGACTTGATTGTTATTATCCTGGCCTTACAGATGAGGAAACTGAGGCACAGAGAGGTTAAGTCACTTGTCCAGTCATGCTGTTGGTAAGCATCCAGGCAGGATTCAATCCAAGGTCTTTCTGACTCTCAATCCAATGCTCTCTCCACCATACCACACTGCCTGGAAAAGGAGGAAGGTGCTGGAGGTAGGTATATTAGGAGCACAGAAACATCGAGCAATCAGTTAACAACCATTTTTAGACTACTAATGGGTGCCACATACTGTGTTAAATGCTGCAGAAGTAGAGTGACAGAGTCGGCCAAGGACAGGAAGAGACAGGGGTCTGATGGTTTCTTAGTAGTGGAGAATGAGCATGCATTCACACACATAGACATGGAAATACATACATCCTGAAAAATCTACTCTCATAACCACACATATTCATAGTACCCCACATAATCATAACAGAAAATGCATATGGTATTTCAAGGTTTGCAAAGCATTTTACAAACATCTCCTATGATTTACACAACAACCATGTGTAGTAGGTGCTATGATCATTATCATTTTTCAGATGGGGAAACTGAGGCTGAGAGAGAGGGAGTGACTTGATTAGGGTTATATAGCTAGGAAGTGTTTGAGGCAGGATTAAAACTCGGGTCTTCCTGGCTCCAAGTCCCATGCACTATCCATTATGACTCCTAGCTGCCCATGGCACAGAAATACACGGACACTGATGTAGTCACATGCGTAAGAGTCCATTTATACACGTGATGCCTCACCATCCATCTTCACTAATTCGACTGCTCTGCCTCCCTCAGAAACCTTCTCCCAAGAGTCCACTCCCCTCCTCACCCCTACATTTACAGGCCCATTCTGGGCTCTGATGGAGGTGAGGATACATATGTCAACTCCTAATCTCCCTGGTCCTCAGTTTCCCCCATGTTTCAAATTGATACCCATTCGCCCTGCTGCTACCTTTGAAGAAGAAGGCTTCCCCTCGGATCTGGGCCACAGCATCAAAGTTAACATTGCACCGATGGGGTATATCCTTCCTTTGCCTGTGGAGAGATCCCAGCCCCTCTCTGGTCAGATGAGGTCTTTCTCAGAGACACCCGTCCCCTTGCCCTCCCTCCACTCTGGGTAATTTAAAATAGCAGATAATCCCCCAAACCTGGATGATTCATAGGATCATAAGACTTAGGGATCATTTAGTCCACCCCTGATAAAAATTAATTACAATCCAAAACTGTGAGTAATTTAAAAAACAACAGGGGACAATCCAAAGTGACAGGGGACCTAACAGTAATTTCTCCTAGCCCCTGAGCTCCATGATGTGAATTTGTAAAAAGTTTGATTTGCTTTCCTAAATATTTTCTGCTCAGCAATTATTAACATGAACCTGCCTTTTCTGAGACTATACTCATTGATTAAAAAACAAACTATGGAGAAATGCTTAGCACAGGGTCTGGTACACAGTAGATGCTTAATACATGGTTATTGATTGAATAGAAGAGGAGCTGAAAGATTGAATCAGGGGGCACCTGTCTAAATTTAAAAAGGGGGGGAAATGGGAATGAATCTACAAAGTATAGACCAGTGGGCTGGATTTTGATTCTGGCAAAATTCTCGCACACAGATATTATTAAAGGGATGGTTACTGAATAGCTAGAAAAGGAATGAGCAATCACAAAAAGTCAGATTAGCCTGGCTTTCTCAAGCACAGGTTATGTTAGACCAACTTTATTTCCTTTCCTAACAGAGCCATTCAATTGGTAGATCAGGAGAATGCTTTCGATATAGCTTACTTAGGTTTTAGCTAAGCATTTGATAAAGGATCTCCTGCTATACTTGTAGTCATTAATGACAGAATGTCAATTTAGGAGGAGGTTTCAGTGGAGTGCCCCAGGGATCTACGCTAGGGCCTGAGTCTTGTCAATCAATTTGATAAAGACATATTGGTTGCTGCTCACATTCGTAGATGACACAAACTTGAGAGGTGTAGCTAAAATGTTGGATGACAGGAACGGGATCTGAAAAATACTCTGACTGGCTACAAAATTCGGCTGAATTAATTTAATAGAGATATATATCGGGTTACTTGGTGTCAAAAAGTCAACTTCGCAGGGATATCGAGTGGTTCAGTGGAAGAACAATGGCTTCGGAGTCAAAAGACCTGGGTTTTAGGCAGCTAGGTAAGGCAGTGGTTAAAGCACTGGGTCTGGAGTCAGGAAGATGTGAGTTCAAATCCTGCTTTAGAGACTTACTAGCTGTGGGACCCTGGGCAAATCATTTAACCACTGCCTGCCTTAGTTTCCTTAACTGTAAAATGGGGATAATAATAACACCTACTTCCCAGGGTTGTTGGGAAGATCAAATAAGATCATATTTGTAAAGTGCTTAGTATAATGCCTGGCCCTCAGTTTAATAAATGTTTGGTTTTTTTTTTTTTAAAGTCCTGTCTTGTTAGCTGTGAGACCTTGGGTAAGCACACCCCTCCTGGGTCTCAGTTTCTTCATTGGTAAATGAATTGAACTATGTATCCCTGAACTATATAAATGATTGAACTATGTATCTCTGAGGTCCCTGCCAGCTTTGAATCCATGATTCTATACAAGATGGAGAAATGGTTAAGATAGTAGCTTGTCTGAAGAAGATCTGAGGGTTTTGGTGGACTGCAAGCCCAACATGAATCCATAGTCCTATACAGCAGTCAAAAAAGCCAGTGTCGTCTTAAATTGGAAAGAGACATAGGATCCAGGAGAAGGGACTTCTAGTTCTTCTAGCCTTTGCCCTAGCCAGAGATGGGGAATCTGAAGTCTTGAGGCTACATGTGGCCCTCTAGGTCCTTCACAGAAGTTTGGGTTCTGTCAAAGGGCCGCACTTGAGGACTTAGAGGACCACATGTGACCTTGAGGCCGCAGGATCCCCACGCCTGCAGCCAGACCCCAATAGGAGTATTAGGTTCAATCCTGGATGCTTCATTTCAGGAAGGCCATGGTAAGGTGGAGAACATCCAGAAAAGGGCAAAATAAGTAGAATGGCAAAGGGCCTTGAATGTATGTTGTATGAGAGTCAGTTGAAGGATCTGGCATTGTTTAACTTGGCAAAGAGAGGGCTCATAGGGGACCTAATTGCAATCTTCAAGTATCTGAAGGGTTAATTCAGGGGTGGGGAACCTGGCCAGACTGCAGAGTTAAGTAGATGATTATGAAATAAAAGCATGTATGTATGTGTGTGTATTTATCTATATCTATATTACTGAAGTCAGAAAACTCATCTTCCTGAGTTCAAATCCAGCCAGCCTCAGACACTTGGTAGCTGTGTGATCCTCAGTAAGTCACTTAACCCTCTTTGCCTCAGTTTCCTCATCTGTAAAATGAGCTGGAGGAGGAAACAGCCAACTATTCCAGTATCTTTCCCAAGAAAGCCCCAAATGCGGTCATGAATAGTTGGACGCAAGTGATAAATGACTAAAAAAACAACAACAAAATACGTATAAAACCCACCTTCTGCAGGAAGGCTCTCCCAATTCCTCTTAATTTCAATGCTTTCCTTCTTTTAATTATTTCCTACTTATCCTGAAATATAGCTTGCTTTGTTTGCATGTTGTCTCCCCCATTAGATCGTAAGCTCCTTGAGGGCAGGGGCTGTCTTTTGCCTCCTTTTGTATCCCCAGTGCTTAGCACAGTGCCTGGCATGGAGCAGGTGCTTAATAAAGGGTTATTGAATATATACATCTCACATATGGAGTGCTGGAGAGAAGGGATTTGGTTCCAAAAGATTCTGCTTTCACAAAACCATTCCTGATATCCAGAAGATGGATACGAGCAGATAGGAGAGGATGAACACAATAGCATGGAATAATATGGTAAGGAAAGTTGTCAGCTAAGAAAGAGGGTTGTTTTTCTTAGAAAGCTACACTGGGGAAAATAGGAAGCCCCCCCCCAAAGGGGGGTTTGTTGTTGTTTAATCGTGTCTGACTCTTCATGATCCCATTTGGAGTTTTCTCAGCAAAGAGACTGAGGTGGTTTGTCATTTCCTTCTCCAGCTCATTTTACAGATGAGGAAACTGAGGCAAACAGGGTGAAGTAACTTGCCCAGGGTGACACAGCTAGTGTCTGAGGCTGGATTTGAACTCAGATCCTCCTGACTCCAGTCCTGGCACTCTGTCCACTACGCCACCTAGCTGTCCCCCCCAAAATGGTAAGGGACTATCATTTGGGTAGATGGCGCAATGATATCTGAATTAAGAGAGAAGGCTAAGCTGCTCAGTTCTGATCTTGCTTTGCTTTTTCTGCCAAGAAGAGTGACCTTGGTACAGGAAATGACCAAACTGAAGTGGCCAACAAGGAGCTGATGCTCAGGATAATTAAGGAGATAGTGAGCAGATCTCTTACTATTTTTATGGAAAACATGGCAAGCCTGTGGACTGGAAGGTAATACAGTTACGATTCAGAGCTGCCCAGATGGCTAGACTCAAAGAGTAGTTAATGGCTTAATGTCAATGTGGCTGGAAGTCTCCAGTGGAGTGCCACAAGGATCTGCACTGGGTCCTGTGCTATTAAGCATTTTTAATCTTGACCTAGAGAAGGGACTGCTCCTCAAATCCGCAGCTGACATAAAGCTGGGAAGGACAGACAGCCAGTGTGTTGGATAATAGCGTTGGGATCCCAAAGGATCTTGACGGCACTGGGTTAAATCTAATGAAATCCAAATAAAATAAATGGAAAGACTTAGACTTGAATTAAAAAAAGTCAAACTCACAAGTATAGGCTGGGGGAAGTGTGATCAGATAGGATTTGGTCTTCAAAAGTCTTGGGTTTGTATTTTTTTTTTAATGGACTACAAGTTCAGTGAGTCAGCAATGTGATGTGGTGGCCAAAAAGCCACTTTGTTCTTGGGCTCATTAAGGAGATGCATAGCTTCCAGGAATGAGGAGGTGACCGTCCCACTGTCCTCAGTACTGGATAGCACATAACTGGAATATGGAATCGTGTTCTGTTCCAGGCACTAGAGTTTAAGAAGGACATGCCAATGAATGGGAAAGTGTCCAGAAGTGAAGGGCATTGAATCTATGTTATGTGAAGGAACTGGGGGTTTTGAGGACAGAAAGGAGAAGATGTAGGGGAGATGTAATTACCGGCTTCAAAGTATCTGAGAGGTTGATATGTAGAAGGATTTGACTTGTCCTGTTTGACTCAGGAGAACAGAAAAAGGAATGATGAATAGAAGTTTCCAGGAGACCAAGTTAGGCTCAGTATGAGGAAAGACTTCCTGACGATTAGTGTTGTCCCAAAGGCTGCCTGTTGGGGTGGTGGGTTGCCCCTCCTTGGAGGTCTTCAACCAGAGGCTGCACTGATCACATGCCTGGAATGCACTCCCTCCTCACATCTGACTCTATAAAGTTTCTCCCTTTCTTTAACACCCAGATCAGGCACCATCTTCTGCATGAAGCTTCCCAAATGCTAATGCCCTCCCCTCCCACGCTAGTCATTTTATAGTACTTTAAGGTTTGTAAAGCACTATACATATATGTGTTGTCTCATTTGATCCTCATAACCATCCTGGGAGGTACGTATTATTATTATCCCTCATTTTACAGATAAGGAAACTGAGGCTGAGAATGCCTTGCTCAGGGTCACAAAGCTAGTAAGTATCTAAGGCTGGATTTGAACTTAGGTCTTCCTGACTCCAGGTCTGATAGTCTATCTACATTGTGTGTGTGTGTGTGTGTGTGTGTGTGTGTGTATTTATTCACTTTATGCTGTATATGCGTTTATTCTTTATGCACTTGTCTTCCCACCTAAGCTCCTTGCATGTAGGGATTGTTTCATTTTTGTTACTATATGCCTTCACTATTGATTGATAGTGGGGGATTCCTTTTGGGTAAGAGTCGGATTAGATGTCCCCTTAAGTCCCTTCCAACTGAGAATTCTCTGGTTCTATGCCTCTGATTGGGTAGGAGTAGTAGAATGGTACGAGTAGTAGAATGGTACAGGTGTGGACTGGGGGGTCGGAACCAACCAACGTGATGTAAAACGTTCCCTTTCAACACTCCTCAGAGTGGAGAATCTGCAATCAGATACTGAGATGGTTAAGTAGATGCTGTGGCTCTGAGGGTTTGCTGGGGACCGACTCAGCTGTCTCTGGTGGCAAGTTCTTCTCTCACTCCCCCCACTTCAGGGTGACCTGGTGGCTTACGGGATGGTGGTGCGGTTGTCTGGGAGTTCTGGGAGAAAGGGGTGATCCTCAGTCTCAGTGACCTCTGGCTTGGCTGTAGGGGAGACAGACTCCCGGACACCTATGGTGGGAGATAAGAAAAGAAGTGAGAGATTTTGAAGTAACCTCTAGCCAACCCCCCTACTCCAGTCATCTCCCTCACCTCTCCCACTGGTCTTCCCCTCTCTTCCCCAGCCTCTCTGTCCAACTTAGGACCAAAGAAAAGGAAAGGAAAGCAAGAAAACTCTTCAGAAACCCCCATAACATTGAAAAATGCTGAGTAGGGACAGTGCAGCATAGAGGGCGGGGAGCCAGGACACCACTCAACTCGTTTTAGGAATTTGGACAAGAACTCTAATCCCATTGCACAAATCTCCAATATCTTGCTTTGAAAAATTATTGTGGTGCTTTGAATACCATGGTAGAATAAACTTCATCCAAAAAAGCCACTCAAAACCACATTTCCTGTTTGAACCTCAGTGTCCTTCTCTGTAAAATAGGGTTGTGCCATCTACCTTACTGGGTATCGTGAGGATGAGGTGAGAGCATCCTTGTCAATTCCTCTCTGAAACATCTGCGGAATCCATTCCCACTTTCTCTACTGCAGTTGCAGCTAGCCTAGTCCAGGCTCTCATTACCAATGACCTGGATGACTGCAACTGATTCCTTCTCAGTCTTTTGATCTTCATTTTCTCCCCCTCCAACCCATCCTCCACATCACTGCCACATTTATCTTTCTTAACACATAGACCTATCTGGTCACATCTCTTTTCTGTTCAAGAATCTTCAATGACTCCCTACTTAACCCATTGAGTAGCCTGGCTGTCTACTTCCAGAGAGAGAACTGATGAACTCCGAGTGCCGACAGAAGTATGTTTTTTCCACTTTCTTTATTTTTGTTGCTTTTTTTTTTGCAGTGTGTTTTACATGACTTCACATGTATAATGGGTACCCTACTGCTTGCCTTCTCAATTGGTGGGAGGAGAGAATTTGAAACTTAAAAATGTTAAAAACCGTTGTTGTTCAGGAGTTTTTTAGGTCTGTCTGACTCTTTGTGACCTCATCTGGGGTTTTCTTGGTAGAGATATTGGAGTGGTTCGCCACTTCTCCAGATCATTTTACAGATGAGGAAGATGAGGCAAACAGGGTTAAGTGACTTGCCCAGAGTCATACAGTTCCTAAGTGTCTTGAGGTCACATTTGAACTCAGGAAGATGAGTCATTAAAACTCAACTAACAGTAAAAGAAAAAAAAAGGGAATCTAAAAAAAGAGAAACGTTTAGAGAAACAAAACCCTTTCCCCCCTCTCTCCTTAGCCTGGTATTTGAGGGGCTCCCCTCTTCCAGTCTTATCTCATATTATACCTCTTTGTGCACTCCACAGTTAGACCGACCAAACTGGTGTTTCTTTTTACTATGTTCTATGCTCTCCTGTTTCTGTGCCTTTGTGATTAGGCTATTCCCTGCTCCTGGAAATGCCCTCTTATCTATCTCAAATGCCACTTCTAACAGGAATACTTCCCAGATTCCCTAGGTGGGTAACAATCTCCCTTCTTGGAACTCCCAGAGGACTGTGTCTTGTAATACTTAGAGTTATAGTTTTAGGTCCATAAGAGACCTTAGAGAACCAGAGATGTAACTTGGCCAAAGCTACATTCTAATGTATTTATATTTATATTATTTGTTAATTTTTTGTTACAGTCTCATAACCTACCTAGACTTTGAGGACAAGGACAGAGTCTTAGCTAAACTTTGTATCACTCAAAGTGATTTGTATCACTCGATTTTTTTAATCACTCAATTAGCACAGTGCTTGGCATACAATAAGCACTCAGTAAGTTTGCTGAATGACTAATCCATAGAATGAATCAGCTGGTAAATCTGTGGGGCATGACCTAGGTTGGCATCATCAGAATTCTCCAGAATTCTCTTGGCTCAAGGCTTCCACACTGGTCTAACCACCAATGCCCTGAAAGGGATTTCGGTTCCTGGGCCTCCCTTTTCTGATTGGTGACCATGGTGGTACTGAAAGTCCTGTCCACGCTTCACCTTGTCACCTCCTCTCAGGCCATTTCTTCCACAGTGTGGCCTCCTGGCAAATGCCCTTTCCTGCCTCTGTCATTCCCACCTCTGATCTAGAATAATGGTCGAATCTACTCTGCCATTATTCCTGGATGGGATATGTCAGTTTACTTTTCTTTGGATCAACTCACCATCTCTGTAATTTCCCAGACCAAAATGTCCCTTCCATGGCCACCACTTCTCTATGTTTGTTGTTTCTCCCATTAGAATGTAAGCTCATTGAAGGCAGGGACTGTCTTTGCTTTTATATTAGTATCCTCAGAGCTTAGCACAGTGCTTGGCACATAGCAGCCTCTTTTGCTTTTAATATAGCACTTTATTTTTTCCCAATTGCATGTAAAGACAATTTTTAGCATTCATTTTAAAAATATTTTGAGTTCCACATTTTCTCCCTCCCTCACCACTCCCTCCCTAAGATGGTAAGCAATTTTATAAAGGTTATATATGTGCAATTCTGCAAAACACACTTCCATATTAGTCATGTTGTAGAAGAAGCAGACTAAAAAAAAACCCATGAAAAAATAAAGGAACTGAAAATTAGTATGCTTTGATCTGTATTTAGAATCCACGAGTTCTTTCTCTGCAGGTAGATCGCATTTTTCATCACTAGTCCTTTGTAATCGCTTTGGATCGTTGTTTTCCTGAGAAGAGCTAAGTCCTTCATAGTTGATTATTGTACAATATTGCTGTTACTGTGTACAATGTTCTCCTGGTTCTGCTCACTTCACTTTGCATCAGTTTGTATAAGTCTTTCCAAGTTCTTCCCATAGTAGGCTCTTAATAAATGTTTTTCCCTCCCATTTATTCTGGTTCCTGAAAGTTTATACACAAAGTCTTACCCTAGTTCAGAAGCTCAAACCTGATTTTATCTACCTGTCCTTTGATGCTGGCTGCTGATGCTCCTTTTACTATCAAGAAATTGAATACAAGTCATTGGGCCCTGCTGGCCATTTTTTTTCACTGCCGGGCTAGTAGTTACAAGGGTGAATGATGACCTGGCTGATACGGGTGAGTGGAATCCATCTAGCCCCTGAGACAGAACCCTCCTTCAGGCTCTGGGTATAGATTAGGGGCAGATGTTATCTGTGCTCTGGTCCCTGTGCCTTGGCCACAGGCTCGCTACTTACACTTGTTTTAGCCCCTGGGGCTAGAGCCCTTCTTAGCATTCTTCCCCCTGACCTTCCTTTGAGATCTGCAGTGTGGCTGAAAGGAGCTCATTAGGAAGCTTGACTAGTTCAATGTGATTACTTGGCTCCATGTCCTGTCTGGCATCACTCCCCCCCCCCCACCCCTGAGCTTCACCTTTAGATGGGAGGTGGGAAGGCTATAGAGAATCAGGGAGGCCTGGGGGTTGTGGGGGTGGGTAGAACATGAGGTTAGCAGAAGAGACGGAAAGGTCAGGGTTGGGTGCCAAGCTCACCGTACAGTTGCCAGATGCGGACTTTGTCCTCATAGGGCAGGTCATATTTCAGGGGGTCGCCCACAGGGCCCTGATAATAGGGTCTCATGATGGACTGTATGGCTGAGATGTGGGTGAGCCCAATGGCGTGGCCAAACTCGTGGACAGCCACAGCAAAGAGATCCGTCCCGTGAGCATCTGAGGAAACATGAAAATACCCATCAGCCAGAATGGGGCTGAGGGGTCCCTGGTAGCCAGGGCATCTATTCCTCGCGCAGGATTTTGGCTCAGGCTTTTGGGTTATTTCTGAGTGCACATGCAAGCAAGAACCTCAGCACTGTGTCTGACATAGAATACACACTTAACAAATGTTTATTGATTGATTGATTGAAGAGACCCAGAGGACTCCCTGGAATGTACCTTCAACTTCTCCAACTTGAGTCTTGATTGTTCAGAGAACACTCCAGGACTCTGGGCCTGGAGCCCCTGCAGGATTCCTTCTCTCAGCGGTCCCACCCCCGACCCTGCCCACTACTGGTGCCATCAGTATCTCTACTTCTCAGCAGTACATTGTAAGGGGCCCTGGGCCTTTCTGCTGGCCCATTCACTATACCCTTATAAGAACCACCAGTTCTTTCCATCTGCCCTGCATCTGAAGCCTCCTATATGTATTGTCTCCCCAATAAAAACATGAGTTCTTTGAAAACAGGGATAGTTTCACTTTCTATTTATATTTCCAGTGCTCATTTGCAGTGCTTGATGCGTCTTAAGTGCTCAAAAATATGTTTTTCAATTCCATTCTGTGCCTGTGGGAACATGGACGCACAGAGGTGTGTGAGAGAATATGGGCGTATTTTAAATTTATAGGCAGATGTGTCTGACAAAAGGCAGGAGAAAGGAAGGGAAGGAGCTTGTATAGGGCCATTGTGGGCTTCCTTGGGTATATGGGCAAGTGTGAGATTATGTGGTTAACACAGGCTTCCTGGGATATATGGTGCCTACATGGGCTTTCTTAGGCCTCATGGAGTTAGTGTGGCTCCCTCAGGTTATGAGGGATCACTGTGGCCCCCTCAGACTAGATGAGGTTGATTTGGGATCCCTGAGCTATATGTAGGGTCTTCCCCGAGGTTGCTCCCCACCTGAGGATCGGAAAGTCCAGGCCTCATCATCATCGAAGTGGGTATCTCCAGCAGTGTGGTGGTCTCCTGGAAAGAAAGCATGGGCCACGGTGCCCCCAGGGCCATCGAAGGGGTAGCCATCATTGTGGTCCGCTTTGGAGAAGTCAATCTGGATGTCCGCATTGCTACCTGCTACCTCGTGGAAGTTGAGTGGCGTGATGTCACTCCACACCTTTAGGGCGTAGTACATGAGTGCCCGGACTGTGTCCCGGCCCAGTGAGGAATCCCGTGGGAATGTGCGGACTCTATTGGAGAGCAGAGAATGGCAAAGCCTGAGTACACCTGGCCTCTGGCCTGGTCTGAGGCTGTCCGCCTTCTCACACAAGTCAGAGGGCCTAAATTCTTAGCACAGGAGCTTCATTGCCTCTCTCCTGTCTTTGCACCTCACAGTAGGGTCCATGTTACCTCCTCCCTCTTGATCTCTCCTTCCCCACATCAGGAATGGAATGTGGAGAATTCTAACTGTCCCCTAGTGGGAAGGGGCTGTCCCAGGAGGTAGAGAGCTCCCCCTCACTAGAAATCCTCAAAGGTTGGTGTTAGATGACCACTTGTTGGATACATCACAACGGGAATTAAGAAGCAGCAGGGACATAGGACATTAGACCTGACATCAAGAAGCCCTGAATTCAAATTTTGATTCAGATATATGCTCATGACCTTGGGCAAGTCACTTAAAAAAAAAACAAACCTCATTGTACCTCAGTTTCCTTACCTGTAAAATGGAGGAAGGGGCTGAGCATATGGTCTTTGAGATATCTTCTAGCTCTGAAATTTATCATTTATTCATGAATTATTGTTCAGCTACCGGTTGGATTAGGTGGCTTCTCTGGGCCCTTTCCAACTGGAAGACTGTGACATACCAGTTGTCTTTAAATACGTAGAGATCACAGATCCTATGGGTCAGCCAGGTAGTTCAGTGGATAGAGCACCAGGCCTAGCATCAGGAAGACCTGAGTTCAAATCTGGCCTCAGGTACTTCCTAGCTGTGTTACCATGGGCAAGTCATTTAACCCTGTTGGCCTATTTCCTCATCTGTGAAATGAGCTGGAGAAGGAAATGGCAAACGACTGCAGTATCTTTGCCAAGAAAATCCCAAATGGAGTCATAAAGAGTCAGACATGTCTGAACAACAATGAAAGATTTAGAGCAAGATGAGACTTTAGATGTCATGTAGTCCAAACCCACTTGAGGAAACAGGCCCAGAAAGTTATGATGACTTGCCTAAAGTCAAATTAGTGGTAAGAGGCAGAGGGAGGATTTGAACTCAGGTCCTCTGACTCCATCTCAAGGGCTATTTCCATTATACCATTTGTCTCATGTCGACGAAGAATCAGACTCGTACCATGGACAGAACTAGGTGTAATAGGAAAACACTTTAAATATAAGGAAACACTTCCTGACATTTGGAGCTGATCCCAAGCACAGCGGCTGGAAGAAGTGGATTCCCATTCTCTGGAAGTCCTCCAGCAGAGGCTGGATGACCTTTCCTAAGGGAAGGTTGTGGAAGGAATTCAGATTCAAGTGTAGTTTGTCCTGGACAGTGGCTGAGGTGTCTCCCAGCTCTGAGATGCTGAGATTCTGGGACAGAGAAATTTCCAGGTATCGTACATGCCTCCGTACATGTCTCTGTACGTGCCTCTGTACATACCCCCCAAAGCTTTGTCCTCCTCTCACAGGGGTGAGGGAGGGGGAGAGTAGAGGGTATCAGGGAATCAGGATGTGCAGGTGGAGCAGAAGAGGTTGCTGGAGAAACTTGGTCAATGAGGTTCAAGAGAAAGATGATTTCTTTTAATTTTATGTAATCAAAATGATCGAGCTTACCTTTCCTAATGCTCTCTGTATCTTGTTTGGTCCTAAATTCTTCCCTTACCCACATCAGATTGTCTCAGGGAGTAGGGAGGGATAGACTTTGGAACTCAAAACTTAAAAGAAAAGATCAGATCAGATTGTTTTCACATGTAATGGCAGAAAAGATAAAATACCACTTAAAAAATAAAAATGAGAAAAATGATTTCTAAAGTTCCTTCCATCTGTACTCATCGATAAATCTATGAAATCTCTATTTCTTGTTAGTCTGGGTATGAGCACAGGGAGGGGTGAGTGGTATCCTGAGTCTGTGACTGAGGCTTCATGGGGTCGTTCATTTAGTCTACCTTTCACCTGCGGGCAAAGGGGCAGAGCCAGATTTTAATCCAGGTCCTCAGACTCTAAATTCAATGTACTTTTCCATTATGCTTTGCTCTTTGGGCAATGAAGGAGAATCTATTTTCCCCTCTAATGAGGGGAACCTTTTACCTCCTGAGGCAGAACATCCTATTGGGTCATATCAGTCAAAGGCCCAGTGACTCCAATTCCTCTAACCTCCCAGTCCAAAACGCTCCTCCCTGGCTACCACTCTCCTATATGTGATGTCTTCTCTTATTAGAATGTAAGCTCTCTGAGGTCAGGGACTATCTTGCTTGCTTGTATTTGTCTGTTCAGTATCTAGTACAGTGTCTGATACATAAATGTGTTTAACACACGCTTATTCATTCCTTCTCTTCCTAAGAGGGTCATAGGCTTAGAGATGTAAGGGACCTTCGATCAATTCAATACCCCTCATTTTATGGTTGAGGAAACTGAAGGCCAGAGAGGTTAGGTGATTCTCCCCAGGTCACACAGGTAGTAAATGGCAGAGTAAGGATCTGAACCTAGGTCTAGCCCTTTTTCCACTGAACCAAAAAGGCTGAGTTTCCGTGGTCTTAGGCTCTGCCTGTGGCTTTTTCTATCTTGGGAAAGGGCCAATAAGATTTTAGATCATTCTAGTACAACTCTCTCATTGTATAGATGAAGAAACTGAGGCCATCATAAATCAAGTTAGTGGTCCAGCTGGAACCTGAACCCAAATCCAGTGCTGTGCCTACTGCCCCAGGCTCCCTCCACAGAGCAGGCCTCCCTTGATCCAGGGAGGGGCCAGGTTCACATCCTATCCGAGGCGCCTTTCCCCTCCAGGGGCTGAGTCTCCTCCAGGTGGGAAGGGAATCAGGCCCGGCCTTAATAAGCTGCTTCCTGACACCTTTGGATGACTGCCTGCTCCATCCTCCCTCTGGCTCTCACTCAAAGCATTCCATTTCCAGATTAATTTAATGCAGCTTCACCTAATAAATGTGTTGGCTTCCAACGATCTCAGCCAGGTCTGACTACATCATTTGGCAGATACCGTGGGAGGGCCATGGCCTGAGGGAGCTTAGGCCGGAAGCCAGGAAGCTTCAAAGGTCTGAGGCCTGAGGAGACACTCAGAGGAAAAGGTCTCAAGGAGCTAGTTTGAACCTCAAGGCTGACCCACAAATGGCTCTGGGCTGGTCCTCCTCAGGCAGGAGGCAATGGGGTCTCAGTGTGCGAGGGCTGAGTTGAGTTTATTCAAGGCCGGATGTGGCCTGTCTTCCAAGAAAGGGCTGCAGAGGAGGGGGGCTGGAGAATATTTGGATTCTCCCTTCCCCTTCCCCTTCCCCCTTCTCTCCTCACTTCCCCCAGCTGACACCATATTGACCAAATCTGTATTAGCTTTTTTCTGTCCCAAGTCATCAAGGGAAAAAACTAGGTCCAAATTCTCCAAGGCAAATTTCATCCGCCCCAAACACCTCCTAATCAATTACTATAGACATAAGGAGCCAGCCCTCCAGACACAGACACATACACACTCTCTCTCACTCTCTCTCTCTCTCTCTCTCTCTCACACACACACACACACACACACACACACACACACACACACACTCATTCCGTCACTCACTCAACCAACCAACATTTATTAAGCCACCTTATACGCAGAGATTGCTATGCAAGGTATATTTGGCTTGCAGGGGAGATGAAGTTTAGATGAGATGGGATCCTTGCCCAAAGGCAGGAGATAAGATACAAAAACAGACGCAGAATCCCAGAATCTTAGTATTGGAAGGGCTGTGGATCAATATACATCAATTACTCTATCACCAAATATTTATTACAGGCTTGTTCTGGGCCAGGCCCTGGTGCCAGGGAACAGGAATACGAATAGTCTTTGACCTCAAGAATCTTGTCTAAATTGTACTTTACATGTATTTATCATTCAACCTTTGCATGAAAGCCTCTAACAATAATAGGCAGGTAGACGGTTCAGTGGATAGAGCACTGGATCTGGACTTAGGAAGACCTGAGTTCAAATCTGGCCTCAGATACAACCTAGTTGTGTGACTCTGGGCAAGTCATTTAATTTCTTTCTTCTTCAGTTTTCTCATTTGTAAAATGGGGGTAATAATAACAGCATCTACCTTTCAGGGTTGTTGTGAAGATGAAATAAGATAATATCTATAATTTGTCACTGTGGAGTTGTATCCAACTCTCCCTGACCCCATTTGGGGTTTTCTTGGCAAAGATACTGGAGTGGTTTGCCATCTCCTTCTCTAGATGAGGAAACTGAGGCAAACAAGGTTAAGAGACTTACCTAGGGTCACATAGCAAGTGTCTGAGGCCAGATTTGAACTCAGGTCTTACTGACTCCAGGCCCAGTTCTCTATCCACTGAGCCATCTAGTTGCCCTTAATATAGTTTTTTAAATTATTATTATTATTATTATTATTTTTTGCCTAGGCAATCAGGGTTAAGTGACTTGCCCAGGGTCACACAGCTAATAAATGTCAAGTGTCTGAGGCCAGATTTGCCCTTAATATTTATAAAGTACTTAGTAAACCTTCAAATGCTACGTAAATGCTAGCTATTGATGTGAAGGAACTCTGAGGCCACTCATTCCACTTTGAGTATCTCTTAGCATTAGGAAGAATTGACTGCAAGCCTAAATTTGGCTCTGGCTCTCTTCCCTTCCTCCTCATTCCTCGTTTTGCCTTTTGTGGCCAGGCAGAACACGCCTAAGCCTTCCTCCAAGTGACAGCTTTCAAATCTTAGAAGACATATCAATTCCACTCCCTCCACTCCACCCCATTTATCTTTTTGGTAGGAATCACTGAATAATAATAATAATTTAAAAAAACCCAAAACATATTAGGGCCTACTATGAGCCAGGCACAGTATTAGTAAGTAGAGAGTATACAAAGTCGGGTTAGGTTAGTTAGGTGGGTCAGTCCCTGCCCTCAAGTAGCTTACTAATAGGGAATAGAGACAAACATTACAATAAGATCATCTATTTAGACCTGGAAGAGATTCCAAAGCTCTTCTAGTCTAGCCCCTTTATTTTACAGGCCAGGAAACTGAGACTTAAGGTCAAACAGAGAGTATAACAGGTAGGATTTGAACCTAGAACCTTTGACTCCAGAATTCGCTTTCTCTCCGCTGTACTATAGAAAAGATTCAGGAGAGGATGGTATCTGTAAAGTCAAGGATGAGAGAATATTTAGTAGGAGTGGGTGGTCAACAGGGCCCCAAACTGCAGAGAGATCAAGGAGAATAAAAACTAAAAAAACCAAACAAAACATTGGATTTTTTGGTTGGGTCATTGGTGACCTTTGAGAGACCAGCTTCAGTACAATGGTGGGCCTCAAAGACTGAAAAGTGGGTAGTGAGGAAGAAGAGGCATCAGGTGTAGACAATCTTTCAAAAAATTTTGTCAGTGAAGGGAAGGAAGAGAGCTGGGGTGTTAGTTAAATAGGATCAAGGGAAGACTTTTTTTTTCTTTTTTAAAGGATTGGAAAAACCTCAGCATGTCTGTAGGCAGAAGGGAAGGAGCCAGTGGGGAGATTGAATATGCCTGAAGGAGAGGGGCTGATTGATGGTGCAAGGTCCTGAAAGAGGAGAGAGGGAGGGAGATCGAGGTTACAAGGCAGAGAGATCAGTCTTGGTGAGAAATGTCTTATTTTGTGACTGGAAGGAAGGAGGAGAGAAGGGTTGATGATGCTGAGAAGGTTTGACGGATGGAAGGAAAGGGTTGAGGGAGATGGATGACCTCAGGATGAGTCTGGGACAACTGTTGTAAGGGCTTGATGGTGGAGGGTTTGAGCAAAGACATGGTTGGACAGATACACCCAGAGATACACAAATAGGGACATAGATAAACATATACCCACAGAGACACACATATGTAAGGAGACGACCAGAAAGATGGACACTTACCCACAGACACACGCACATGTCGGGGCACAGATAATGAGGATGATGATAGATGATAGGTGATAATTAACATTTCTATACCACCTACTACGTGCCAGGCACTGTGCTAATCATTTTACAGATATTACCTTGATCTTTACAACAATCATGGGAGGTAGGTGCTATTGTTATTTCTTAATAGTTTTACTGATGAGGAAACTGAGGCAAACAAAGGTTAAATGATTTGCCCAGGGTCACCAGTGTCTGAGGCCGGATTTGAACGCCGCTCTTCCTGATCCCAGGTCTCGTGTTCTAGCCATTGCACAATCTAGTTGCCAGAAGATACACACCCACAGAGAAACACAGATACCTCCAGCTTCCAGTGGTGAGTGGCCCTGGAGGGCAGTGGAGATCACACTTACCATCATCCATGTCACCCTGCTGGGGCTTAGACCCTCTTCCTTGGGGAAGGGGCAGCCAAGGAGGAGCCCAGGCTGGCATCAGGATGCACATACCTCCAGGACAGATTTCTCTTGTTCCATTTGGTTAGGGTGGGGGTGTTCCGCTTTCTCCGGGCCCCAGGTATAGCCAGGTCTGGCAGTGAGCAGCGTGGTGTCTTCATCAGCTGTAGGGTGGCCTCATCTATGTGGAAGGCAGTGGGAAGGGGAGCTCAGGGGTCAGGAGCCCAGGCAGTTCCTCAGTTCCCTAGCTGGCTCTTTCCACCCCGTGTGGACTTAGGGGTCCTTTCTCTATCCTCTTGGCTCATGCTGCCTTTCCCCTCTCCTGAGCACCCTCCCTCCGTCCTAGAAGAGATTCCAACATTCCACCCCTTACCCTTGCACCTCTGGGGTTGATGTGTCTATCTGGCGCATGTATGTCTAAACTAGCCCTGAGGACAGGGCTCTGCTCTGTCTCACTGACAGCCCTGTCCCTAGCGCAACAGTGAGTTAGCCTAACACATCCTGCCCTCCTTGACTCCGGGGGCACATCTTTGTGAGCTTCATCAGCCCTGTCTGGTCAGACTGGGGTAGGAGACTCTCAAGGGACCTTAGGAATCCTCCAATCTAATTTCCTCATTTTGTAGGGGAGGAAAGTGAGGCCCTAAAAATGGACTTGCTCAGGGTTGCACGGGCCAGAAGTGGCAGAGCTGGAATTCGAACCCTGGTCCTCTGAATTAAAAGAAAAAAAACATTTCTGGAGTGCTTTTAAGTTTGCAAATAGATAGATTCTCACCACTTTTTAAGAAAGGTTTTTTAAAGAAGGAGAAACCAGGGCCCAAGAGTTTAAGTGACTTGCCCGGGGTCACCTAGAAAGTCAGCGTCAGTGGTGGGATTTGAACCCAGGTCTTCTTGACCCCAGGGCCAAATTCTATCTGCTATGTCAAGTTGCCTCACCTAGACTCAATGCCCTTTCCATTCCCACCCCACAGGAGTAGCTCGTGGAAAGCAGGGCCCCCAGCACTGTGTCCACATCTCCAGACCCCTCTCTCTCTAGTTCCCTGCCCCCTGCTTCCCCGAATCACCCCAGATTTTTGGGGAAGGTCAAAGCCAGGCAGGGCTTGGAATTCATTCTGCACACTTAGGGCAATCATTTCCTAAAGGTCTATGGCTAGAGAATATTAACAAAGCCCACTGGAATGCAACTTTTAAAGCAAATTAATTAAAAGATACAATTTACAAGGAGCAGGGTAATGAACTTTTTCCTTCCTCATTTTTGCAAAACCCCAACAGCAAACCAGGCAGTAGTGAACCATGACTGCGGCTGTTCCTCCTGGAGTTCAGGATAAGTTTGGAAAGAAAAGAAAGATTTAATTAGGAATCCACTGGGCTCCCCAATCCAGGGATGGGATGGGGCCAGGCATCAAAATCTGTAGTGTAGGAACATTGTGTCCTAGATTTACAGCTAGACGGGACCTCAAAGACCGTCTAGGCTAATCCCCTTGCTTTACAGAGGGAAACTGAGGCTCCTAAAGGTCACAGAATCATAATAGCAAATGGTTAGCATTTACATATGTTTTTAGATTTGCAAAGTGTTTTAATAATACAATCTCATTTTATCTTGGCAACAACCCTGGGAGGTAGGTGCATTATTCCCATTTTATAGTTGAGAAAACTAAGGCAGACAGAAGTTAAGTTACTTACCCAAGGTCACAAAGCTATAATCTTGTTGGATCCTCACAACAACTATAGGAGGTAGGTGCTATTATTATTCCCGTTTTACGGATGAGGAAACTGAGGCAGGAAAAGGTTAAGTTACTGACCCAGGGTCACAAAACTATGACCTTGTTGCATCCTTACAGCAACCATGGGAGGTAGGTGTTATTGTTATCCCTGTTTTACAAATGAGGAAACTTAGGTGAAGTGACTTGCCCAGGGTCATACAACTAATTAGTAAGTGTTCTGAGGCTGGATTTGAACTCAGGATGTCCTGAGTCTGGGCCCAGAGTGTTATTCATTTCACCACCTGGCTACATCATAAATTTATAATTGGAAGGGACCTGAGGTCACTGAGTCCAATCTGCCTTATTTACAGAGAGTGAAACTGAGGTTCAAGGGGCTGCTCTAGGTGGCCCAGTGGATAGGATACCAGCCCTACAGTCAGGAGGATCTGAATTCAAATCTGGCCTCAGGCACACGCTAGCTGTGTGACACTGGGCAAGTCACTTACCCCTGATTGCTCCCCCACCAAAAAAAAAATCAAGCCTCATAGAGGTCACAGGAACATAGATTTAATGTTGGAAGGGACCTCAGAGGTCATCTAAATCAGCTTCTTCCTTTTTCTTTTATAGAGGAAGACATCAAGGGGAAAAGACATGAACAAGGTAATACAGGACTGAGGAAGGGGGGCTGGCCTAGGGCAGAGGGTGGAGTGGGGCTACACAGGGTATTAGAGAAGACCCTGGACTGGGAGACTAGAACCCTGTTTCTAGTACTGTCTCTGCTGCTTATCAGCGGCAGTGGGCCAGTCATATAACTTCTCAGAACCTCAGTTACCTCATCTCTCAAATGGGCATAATAATACTCAGCATGACCTCTCTCACAGGGATGCTGTGAGGAAAAAAGATTTCTCAGACCTTAAGGTAAGCTGTCATTTTAATTTTATTATTTTTACTTATATGGCTAGCTTCATTATTATTCAAGGACCTACCTTTTCTCCAAGAGGAAAGCAGACTCAGCATTTACCTAGAGAAATGGTTCTGATGGTCCCCCCAGACAAAGAGCCGTTCTGCTATGTGGGCAGGAATTGGCCAGGGGAGCTATTGGGTTGTTGTAAGTATCTCAATTACAGGCCTGCCTCCCTGCAATGAGCAAATCCAAAGCTTCCCATTAGCGAGGTAGGCCAAGAAACACTGGATCTGGTGGGCCATCCTTGAGAGGCAGCAGAAATCACATTTGATTTAGTGTCAGGAGGCACCAGAGTTTGAATCCTGGCTTTGGCACTTACTTATGAGCTGTGTGACCCTAGACTAGTCACTGGACTTCCCTGAACCTTTATTCACCCATTTATTTCAGTCATTTGTTTGTTTGTTTGTTTTCCTTTCTGCTGTGTCTGACTCTTTGTGACCCCATTTGGGGTTTTCTTGGCAGAGATACTGGAATGGTTTGCCATTTCCTTCTCCAGCTCATTTTACAGATGAGGACACTGAGGCACAAAGGGTTAAGTGACTTGCCCAGGGCCACACAGCTAGTAAGGGTCTGAGGCCAGATTTGAACTTAGGAAAATGAGTCTTCCTCACTTCAGGCCAGGCTCTTTATCACTATGGCACCATCTACCTAACCCACTCAATGAAAACACCAGTAGTACCCACCTCACGTGGCTGTGGTGGGGCTGGATGGGATGATAATGTACGCAGGGGGCTTTCTGACCCTTCAAGCGCTCTATGGATATCAGCTCTGTTAATTCCATCAGTGGATACACTCGTTGCCCTGCCAGGAGGCTTCAGGAGAAGCCCGTTGCCTTGGTCTGAAGAGGCCTGAAGCAGAGCTAGTGAGGAAGACAGGCTCTAAATGAAGGACGGCACCTTATTTCAAGCTAATAAAGTTGTCAGACTCCTGGTGAGCAGAGAGCCTTGGAGAAAATCAATGGGTCCCTGAGGACATTCAGAGGGGAGTGAACATCCCTATCTATAAAGACAGGCTTCACCCAGAAGCATATCTCTATATCTGTCAATAGTTCTTTACATAGATAGAGAACAACTCATTGACAGATTTATAGAGCCTTTGAGCCTGCAGAGACCTTAAAGGTCATCCAGTCCAACCCTCTCATTTTACAGATGGGGAAACTGAGGCCCAGGAAGGGGAAGGGACATCCTCAAGTTCACATAGAATTGACTGGTTTGTATCTCTCCCTCCCTCATGATATCCCTTTAAATCCTTGAAGGTACTCCCCCAAATCTTCTCCAGGACCCAATTCCTTCAGCCAATCCTGGTATGGAATGATTTCTTTTGTAAGAAGGCAGGAATGGTAGAACTGTGTCAAACTGTCAGCTTTAAGCTCAGAGGCAACTAGGTCATGTAGTGAATAGAGGAGTGGGCTTGGGATCAGGAAGACCCAAGTTCAAATCCTGCTTTGGTATGTACTAGACTCCTAGCTATTCCACAAACAAGACACTCCATGTCTGGCTTTCAGACATTCTCTCTGGCTGTCCCTGTATCATTGATGAGAGGTGGGTTTATGTCCTGCTGTGGGGCAACGGCAACTGTGGCATTGAATTTCCTTGAATGGATTAGAAATTACATTGTTACAGAACTAGAAATTAAATCTTTTATGTCTAAAAAATGATAATAATTTATGCCAAAAAATAATACTTTAAGCATGTGAAGGTACGTTCCTTTGTGATGTTACTTGTATGGAAATAGATATGCATATAAATAGAAATCTCTTTTGAAGTATTGAAAGGAATACAGTACTTTATATTCTTTATCATTTCACATTTTTAAAGGATTCAATATATTCCTGTTTATTCTTCTATGCTCTGTTTTGTAGTCAGAAGTATTTCAAAAATATCCAAATGCGTAAAATAATAGTAAATGCCCTAATGATGTGATGCTGCATTGTACATAAAACTGTGTATATATATATATATATATATAAAATTTTGTTTGTCTCAGGAAAAAAAATTAAAAGTGTCTCCTCATGATTCTCAGAAGCTTTGCCACTGGGGCATGAGCCCCGGCAGGGCCTTGCAAACTGGAAAGGCTTCCAGCATGGTCTGACGGACCAGCCTCACTAAGGGTAGAGGGCTCCACACCAAAGGCTGCCCGCTAAGAATTGATTTTTTAATTTTTTTGGTGATGGTTGCTTATAAAAAATAAGGCCTGGAGAGGTTGAGAGCTATGCCACTTGCATTGCTGAATCCATCTTGAGATCCCGGATTTGAAACTGGAAGGGACCTCAGAGTCTACCTAGATCAATTTCCTTATTTTACAGATGAAGAAATTGAGACCTGGAAAGTGAAGTATCTTGTCTGATGTTATAGGGCAGTAAGTGACAGAGGCAAGATTTGAACCCAGGTCCTCTGACTCCAAAGGCAGCATTCTTTGGATTGTACCAAACTGCCTCAGTGGAAGGTGCGCTGTTGTGGTGTTGAAGAAATCAAGGCGGGTTGTGATATGTTATATGTACTGTTTCACACCCAAGGTGTTAATGCGTCTGTAGCTGGAATCTCCATTTCTACAGGGGGCTGCAGTGGGGCAGAACGGGGCATTGTGGCAGGGGCTAGGAGCTTGGAGGGGGTGGAGTTAAGAGCCCTGAGGGAAAGGAGGATTCTTTCTTGCTTTCCTGGCTGGGTGTCCAGCCTGCCTCAGTCAAAGCTCCAGGCTGGTTGTGGGGGTGGGGGAAGGAGAAGAGGGTACCAGGGCAGCAGGAGGTAATGAGCTGCTCAGGAACAGTCTGGCTTCTCTCCATTCTCATAAATAATCATAATTAACAGTATTTAGGGAAGGCAGCATGTGGGAGGAGGGGCTTGAAGGGAGCCTTTAATGAGAAGAAGTGTCCTTCTTTTAGCATCCTTTTCCTTCCTCCAAATGCCAAGGCTGGGCCATCCTGCCAGTGGCCCTACCCTGGGGATTTCTATTCCACAGTTCTGTGCAGGTTAGTCAGTCAGTCAACAAACACTTATTCATTGCTCACTATGTTTGAGGCACTGTGCTAAGTCAACAAACATTTACTAAAGTGCCTACTATGTGCTAAGTGCTTTACAATTATTATCTCATTTGATCCTCACAACAATCCTGGGAGGTCAGTACTATTACTATCCCCCTTTCATAGATGAGAAAACTGAGAGAGACAGAGATCAAGCGACTTGTCATACAACTAGTAACTGTCTAGGCTGGGTTTAAACTCAGGTCTTTCTGACTTCAGACTCAGGGCTCTATTTGCCGTGTGCCCTAGCTACCTAAGCGGGGCTAAGTTCAGGGGATACAGAGAAAGGCAAAATACAGTCCCTTTCCTCATGGAGCTTACATTCCAATAGGTCATACATTAGGGGCAAAGTCAGCCCCTTGAACTGGGTGCACTGTGATTGAGGGGCACAAGGTTGGTCCCTTCCAACTCTTTATCTCTGATCATATGAAATAGGACTTCTGGAAAACCCCACAGTAGGAGTTCTAGCCTTTGAGCTGACCCATGCAGGTGGTTATTGGGCTCCCATGCTCCGGCACTGGGCGCTAGGATGTGTCTGGGAAGGACGTGTGTGGGGCAGAGAGATCAAAAGTCAATTTGGGCTAGGTTGTGAGTATCTCGGCTGAGCCCAGCCTCCCTTTCCCATCTTCTGGCTTCCCCTCCCCACCCCCTGGTGGTACTGACCGAGGACACCGGTGGCCTCCAGGCCCCCAAACCGTTGCATAGCTGCAATGGCCTTGGCCAATTCCTCCTGGGTCTGCAGCTGCCCTGTCACAGGGTCTGGTGGGGGCAGGTAACCGAACCGACTCAGCCACTCCTGTGGAAGAGGAGAGAGGGGCAGATAAGGAAGGGGCTGGGGGCTGGAAGCTGCCGCCTGGCTAAACATGGCTGGTTGGTCACTGCTGATGCTCTGCTGACCTTCATGCATTACCATGCTGACAGCTAATTTCCCAGCCAGCTGCAAAGTGCCCTGGATAATGGGAACAGAGAGGAGGAAATGTTGGATTATGTCCTGGAGACCTGCTCATTTATCTTCCCCGGGGCTGGCTCCCAGCTGCATCAGTTCCATTATAGGGGATGACTGGAGCCCCCACTGGGGTGTGACTCTGAACACAACCCCCCACACCCCTCCCCGAGGAGGCTAAAGCCTAGCAATGTCCACGAGGCAAAAGCTCAGACCTTCTTTCTGATTCCTGCCTAACCCTGAGCACCCTATAGCTAGTCCTCTGGCCACATTATCCCAGCCCCACTTGGAGCTTCTGGGATCCCTTCTCTGACTGTAGGTTCTGATCCCAAACACAATTCTCTCCCTCCCCATGCTCCTGACCAGTGGTGTCAAACCCCAATAGAAACAGGGGCCACTGAACTGTACATAAGGTTCCCTGTGAGCTGCATATTGACTTAGAAAACCACATATGAACATTATATAAATTCTACTGTATTCATTTATTTTGGTAAATATCTCCCAATTACATTTTAATCTGGTCAGGGCCTTACTCAGGAGTGTTGCTGGTGCTGTGGTTTGACATCTCTGCTCCAGACCTCTTCCCACATTTTGACCTCAGCCCCAGCCATACAACAGTATTGATAGCTAACATTTATTTAGAACTCAAAGGCCTACAAAACACTTTACATAGATGATTTCATTTGATCTTTACAGCAATCCTGGAAGGCAAGTGCTATCATCATGCCCACTTTACAAATGAAGAAACTAAGGCTCTGAAAAAATTATGTTATTTGCACAGCTATTAAGTGCCCCTCCTTATCATATTCCTAAATAGACCACGTGCCCTCATGCTCAGCATAGTCAGCTAACTGGCACACTGGACCAAGTTCTAGATGCGGAGTCAGGAAGACCTGAGTTTATGAAGGGCTTTAAAAGCCAGAAGATTTTATATTTGATCCTGGATGTAATAAGGAACCACTAGAGTTTATTGAATAGAAGTGTGTGTGTGTGTGTGTGTAACACGGTCAGACCTACTCTTTTCAAAAGTAATACTTTATTTTCCCCCAATTATATAATAAAACAATTTTTAAAACATTTGTGGGTTTTTTAAAAGTTTTGAGTTCCAGATTTTATCCCTTCTTCCCTGAGATGGTAAGCAATCTGATATCAGTTATACATGTGCAATCATGTGAAACATTTCTGTATTAGTCAGACCTACTCTAAAGATGATCAATTTGACAGCTGAGAGGAGGATGGACTGGAGTGAGGAGAGCTCTAAGGCAGGCCAGCTCACCCATAGGCTATTGCAATAGTCCAGGAGCTGAGAGTCTGCACCAGGGCAGTAGCAGTATCAGAAGAGAGAAGGGGGCATACTTGAAGGATGCTACAAAGGGAGAATTAGAATTGACAAGTCTTGGGGACAGACTGGCTATGGGGGAGGTAGGGCAAGAGGGAGTGAGATGTTGTAGGATTGTATGCCTGGGTGACTAGGAGAATTCCCTACAGTAACAGGGAAGTTAGGAAGAAGGAAGGGTAATGGCAAAGATGATAAATTCAGTTTTGTCTACGTTGAGTTTAAGATGTCTATGGGACAGACATCCAGTTTGAGATGTCCAATAGGAAGGAAGGAAACGAACATTTATTAAGTGATTGCTATGCTGGTGATTATGATATACTAGTTGCTTTATTAAGAAATTACTGTGCTAAGCAATAGGGATACAAACAAAAGCAAAAAAAAAAAGAGTCCCTGGCCTCAATGACCTTACATTCTAATGGAAGAATATAGTGGGGGGAGGGGGAGAAGGTACCTGGAAGCCAGGAACAAAGCCTAGAGATCAGGAGAGAGGTAGGGCTGGATAAGGAGATAGAATCATCTGCATAGAGATGATCACTGAAGAGATTGCCAAAACTGATCTAGAGGGAGAAGAGAAGATGGCCCAGGACAGATTCCAATGGTATGTATAAGACATACGCAGGGTAGATATAAAGTAACCTTAGAGCACAATGAAGGCAGCCTGGAGCCTGAGCCCCATCTCCATACTTCTGATGATAATGATACATTGATTCTAGACTGGGCCTGCGATTTCATCAGTACAGAAAGCTCTCAGTGAGGATTCTTTCTCTACCAATGCCCATCTGTGCCTACTCTACTGGGGCAGTGAGATGGTGCCATAGTGCACAGAGTACCAGGCCTGAATTCAGGAAGACCCATCTTCCTGAGTTCAAATCTGGCCTCAGACACTTACTAGTTGTAAGTCACTTAACCCAGTTTGCCTCAGTTTCCTCATCTGTCAAGGGAGCTAGACAAGGAAATGGCAAACCACTCCAGTATCTTTGCCAAGAAAACCTCAAATCAGGTCACAAAGAAACAGACATGACTGAAACGACTGAATGACAATGAACCCTCTCTTCGACTTGTAGTCATATGTAAGACAGCTGCCTTGAGTACTGAGTCTTGTCCAAGGTCAAATAGCCAATATGTGTCAGCAGTAGCACCTGAAGGAACCTGGGTCTTCCTGCCTCTGAGGTCAGCTCTCTATCCACTACCCCATACTGTTTCTGAGGTCATCTTCACCATCATCATCACACTTCTCATTTTTACAGCATTTGAAGATTTACAAACCACTTTCATTGAAATCACAGGATCTCAAAGCTGGAAGGGACCACAGATAGCCATCTAAAGCAACTCAGCTTATACCTGAACCACACCCTACCCCTCTGCACCACCCCCTATAACATCCCCAACAAGTGGTAGCCTGTCCCTGACTGGAGTCTTGTAACGATAGGGACCCACTCCCAACCTCTCAAGGCGGTCCCATCCACTTTGATGCAGTTCTCGTTGGCAGGGAATTCTTTCTATCCCACCAAAACCTGTTTTGGAAATTTATAACAGCTCAAAACTAGTATTTATTTAGCACTTACTATGTGCCAGGCACTGTATTAAGCACTGAGGAAATAAAGAAAGGCAAAAATAGGGTCCCTGCCCTCAGGGAGCTTGCAGTTTAATGAGGGAGACACTTAGCAATTATGTACAAACCAGATATAGACAGGATAAGTTGGAGATAATCAACAGAGGGAAGGCACTAGCATTTAGGTAACAGAAAGGGAGGAATTATATTTCCCTTTTCTTGATATGAATAATGTGATTTTATAATAAACCAACATTTTAGTCTCTAGCCCCTTTGTTTTGCCTTCTTTTACCCCAGATCATGTGCAAGGACAGCCACCAAGACAAAGAGGGTCTTCCCTGTCTCCGACCCCTGAGGTTGAAGACAGACTAGCAGATTAGGAAGTCTCCGTCTCCCCATCCTTGAAATACAACAAACTGCTCTCAAGGTCAGTGGCTGACTAGTTATGAAGCCAACATGACCTTGTGTTTTCTCCATACTAAAAGTACATGTGAGAAATGGTTCATGTTCAGAAGCCCTTAGCTCACAGAGACATCTTTGTGCCACTTCATGCTTTTCCCTGCCTTGGCTGGTAACCATGGATGTAATAAAATCTTTTCTTCCGTTGTTCTTCAGTCTTTCAATAGTGATCGACTCTTCATGACCCCATTTAGGGTTTTCTTGGCAAAGATACTGGAGTGGTTTGCCATTTCCTTCTTCAGCTCATTTGACAGGTGAGGAAACTGAGGCAAACAGGGTTAAATGACTTGCTCAGGGTCACATAGCTAGTAAGTGTCTGAGGCCAGATTTGAAGTCAGGTCTTCTGTCTCCTGGTGAAGCACTCTATCCACTGTGTCACCTAGCTGCCCATAAAATCTTTTACCTGACATATTCTAAATTGTAATGTAGTAGGTTTTCTTTCTGTAACAAGTACCATATGAATGTTAATTATTATTTATTTTCACCCCACCCAAGTTTTCTCTGGGCCAAACACCCCTAATTCCTTGAAGTAGGCCTATTTTTATTTATTTTTATTATCCTCTGGAAACTATGTCCTAGAAGGATTGAGTGATCTATACAGTTAGCTAGGAAGTGTCACAGACAAGAAGTGAACCTAGGCCTTTTGATCCACTCTTTTTTCCACACCTTCCTTTCTATGCCAACCTAGTTACCCTTGGATCAGGGCATTTGGACTTAGAGGTCAGACACTAACTATGCATTTCTGGCTTTGATGCCTTTACTACTCTGTTCAGATGGAGGCTGGGCTGGAGGCAGGCGGCTGCCATGGGAAGACTGGGATGGGAGGTGTGGTTGGGAAGAAATGTTGAAAATCTGAGGCTCAGGGGAGGGAGGGAGGAAGAAGGAGGGAGCTGGAGAAAGGCCGAGGGGAAATCGATCCGATCTGGGCCATTACTTTGATTGAACTGGAGAAGGCTAGCTTTAAATCATATAACTAGAATCAGGCCATAGAATTTTTATCCCCCACAACTCCCCTTCTCCCAAGGAAGGGGGGCTCTCTAGGCTTGGGGACAAAGGCCCTTTGAGTCTCCCTGAGCTTGGAAAGCTCTGTTTCAGAGATAGCAAACACCCAAGGGGCCTACTCAGGGCTACACTGGCTGGTGGCTGGCCTGGCTAAAGGCAGAGGCATGGACAGGATGACCTCCAGGTCCCTTCTAGATAGAGGAGACTAGCATCAATTCCTCCTCTTCACAGAAACCCCTGCAGAGAATCTTTTTAAGCTAACCCAAGGGTCCCTATGTAGGGGAGAGCAGAAGTTCCCTTGCCCATTTCCCTCACCCTCCAAGTCCCATTTTCCACAGCTGTCCAAATGTCCAGGGCTTTAAGTCACCCTGGCTCTTTCTCATGGAGAAAATCAGGAGCTTGGGTCCTCTGGGTAACGTCTTGCCCCAGGACCACTCATTGGGGTCCTAATTCTAAAAGTATGAAAATGCAGCAAGGGACCTTAGAAACCATCTAAGGTAA